GCCACTGTGTCAGCGCCTTGATGGATGGCCACACGGCTATAGCGGCCCATCTCCCGCCTCTGTGGCACAGCGGGGTGCCGCCACTCAGCGACTGTGCATGATGAAGCGCAACAGACGCAGAATGGCCGTCCCTGGGCGTGCGGAGAATGCATTCACTCGGACAGCCATGATGCAGCGATCTGCGCACGCCGACAGCTGGCGAGATGAAGGCAGCCTCCTTCTGCGGGGTGCCGAGAAAGACAACCAGAATGGCTACTGGAACACTCAGTGGAGTCACGCTCATCATGATGTGGGCCGTTTTGTCCCTCTGCGCGCCGAGCTTGCAGACCTCTGAGGTCCGATCGGAATTCATGATTCTCCCCCCCCGCGATGCTGCGTTTCTTCCTTCTCTTCCTTTTCTGCAAGAGACTCGCCGCCCAACAAGCTGCCACCGACGCCGAAACGCTCACCCCCATGGACTTTGACACGCCCCTCACTCTGTCGATGGGCGGGTACGGGGAAAACTTCATCATGGCGACGTCTGACAAGGACAAAGACAAAGCGAAGAAGCACAAGCTACCGGAGAAGCCCTTTGTGGTGCCCAAGGGCACCATCGTTGAAGTCGAACCCATCAGGCACTGCCTGAAGTTCCTCGCAGGTAGGTTGTTGGGGGAGGATGTACGGACGGCCATGTGTGTTGATGTGACGAGCTTGCTCATGTCGTATGTGTGTTCAGGGAAGAAGACCAAAGATGCGATTGAACGGCTTGATTTTGTTACCAAGCAGTGCCACTACGTCAACATGTTTGACCAGGCAGAGCCTGTCAAAATAGTGAGTGTCCAAGCTTGGCTGCCTCTTTTCTCCTTCCCTCATTTTCGGCTCGCTCGTTTGTGTTGATTGATCAATCATGTGCAGGAGTGTCCGAAGGGTCTCCATCCCGATGTGATCTTGAACAAGTGTGTGGGGGAGAAGCGGGAGCCCCCGAGCCCTCAATGCGGCCACAAGGAAGGCCAGCCAAAGTACGTGAGCCCTTGTCTGCTGCAGGCACCATCGCACATGCCTACATCTGTCCCCACCTCTTTTCTTCCTGCGTGTTTCGGTCTGTGTGCGTGGCAGATGGTGGAGGATTGAGTCCAAGTATCCGGTTGAGGACGCCTACAAGACCAGCTACCACAGCCCGAAAGGAGAGCACCACAAGAAAGAGCCGGAGGAGCCGAAGGGGCCTTTCGCCTACTGCATCAAGAACGAAGTCTACTTTCCCAAGACCCACTGCCCCGAAGGCTTCAAAAAGGTCGACACAGACAGTGCTCAAAGCCGCGAATAGATGCGCAGTGCGTTTGTGTGCCCTGGTGCAGAAGGAGACCAAGGGCGGGATGGAAGTGTGCATCATCATCAACGAGGTGCCGCCAATTCACCAGGAGATCTGCTCCTACATCAGCACCAAACAGCCAGACGACACGAAAAAGAGGAGGGCCCTCGAGGCCCAGCAAGACAACCCAGGAACAGAGGACAATCCAGTGGATGACCCTCGCGAGATGGATCTGGTCAAGATGTGGGAGGAGGGCTTTGGGACCGCACCTGGCCGCGACCTGCTGGGAGACAAGAAGGAGCACATAAAGCCGGGCTTCAAGAAGCACTGCGAGATCATGAGTGTGTGCCCGGAGGGATTCACTATGGACAAATTCAAAATCACTTGCAAGCAGTACATGGGCACAGCACCGAAAGCCAAGGACAATTGCCATGAGGTATGCCCGGGGATTCATTCGCTATTCATGTCTCTCGTGGCCTCTGCGAAACTTTTCTCAGGGTTGGTATTTTCGAGCGGAGTTCGACGCGTGTGTGAAGCACAAGATAGACGACGCAGAGATACGGTGCCCTTACAAATTTAAGCTCGACCCCCTCACGGGCGATTGTGTCGACCAGGTCAAGGAAAAGGATGCACTCAAGATCGAATGCCCAAAGGGGTGAGTGGATAAGAGAAGCCGCAGAACATACGGATACCTCTGTAGCTCTGCGTATGTGCGTTTGTGCATCAGCTATTTCAACGCACAGAACAAGGCGTGCGCCAAGCTAACGATTTACAAGCCGGCATTGGAGTGTGAGCACGTGAAGGACGGTGGCTTTGTGCTGGACGAGAAGAGGGAGAAGTGCGTCATGGCGGTCCCCGCAGGCACGCTCATCTACAAGACGCCCGGCAAGAAGAAGGAGAAGAAAGAGAAGGTACAGCCACTAGAGGTGCACGGGTTCCCTGTCGTGCCGTACATGCCCGATCCGGGGGGCGGGGGGACCACTGGTGGTGGCGTGCGTGAATGTGAAGGGAGCGGGGGGCAGAGAGAGCGGGCAGTGGTGGTACCGATGTCTCGTCTGGTACTGCAGGGGAGACAGAGACAGAGACAGGCGGGGATGAGACAGGCCCTAGGCAGGAGCAGGGAGGAGACAACATCACTCTTGTCATAGCGCAAGAGGAGGTGGTGCCGATTGGCCCGCTTCCGACAGAGGCAGCCACCACCGCCTCGCCCACTCCTTCTGCAAGTGAGACAGAGGCGCCAGCCAGCAATCCTCCTAGAAGCGAGCAGACAGGCACGGGCAAAACAAGCACAAGCACAAGCACAGCAAGCGCACCACCAGTGAACCCAGGCAGCAGTGCGATAGCAGAGGGCGTTTTTAGGCCCGCCCCTCCTAAGGCAAGAATAGAGGAGTCCCGGCCAGCCTTTAGCTCGGCGGGGCTTGATGTTGGCACGACAGTGTTTCAGTTTGGACGGCGACAGGCCAGGTTTTATCGCCGTCGAATCAATGTGGCCCGGAGGGTGGCGGGCAGGTTCTTGGCTGCAAGGGAGGGAGAGGAGGGGACAGATAGCAGCAGCAGTGAGAGTGAGACAGAAAGCGAGTAATGTGGGTGGGTCAGTATGGGAGAGGGAGGGGGCAAGGGGTGCAGTGACATTCACCTCTTTCTTGGTTTCGTGCTGCTACACCCTTGCCGATACACACCTAGATATCATCGCAGCGAGAGACTGTGTCTATCTTTCTTTCTCTCTATACGGGTGGCGGCCTGTGTATTATTCTTTATCCATTGTAGTTGCTGCCTGCCGGTACGTGCGTGCTTAAAAAGGCCCCTGCCGCCATGCTGAATGGCTGGTATCTGTGCTGTCTCTGCTGTGTGTGTGCATACAGGACCCCAATCGTGTCCATCATCGCTACCCGATTCTTCCCCTCCCCGCCAACTACACCTTGAAGTTCCCATCCAAGAACAAGAAATAGACGCGCCTGCGGGGACAATCGAGGCGAAGCGCACCGTGAGGCAGCAGAGCAGAGAGTGAGACTTTGGTCGACAGGACATTTGTTGAGCCGTTCATCTATTGCATGGTGGCTTTATAATAGATTTTGAGCTTTCTGTCGCCGACTGGGCTGCCAGCCTGGACGAGCTGGAGAGACCTTTCTGTCGCCGTGCCAAGGAGGAATCTTCGCATGTCGGGCTTCTTGATGCCATGGTCGGTGCTCTCCGTCTACCTGTCGGTCTGTCGCTGTGACCCAAGTCGATCGTCGGATGCGTTTGCGCGTTGGAACTCGTCAATTCTTGCATACACATGGGTGAACTACGTGCCGTGGGTGTTGAATTTAAATTTTGCCATGTACATAAGTACGCGTACGCGTACGTATCCTCCGCAACACTCGAATACAGAGAGAGTCGATCAGTGATTGACGAGATTCCAATTGGCTGATTGTCAATCATGGCGTCGTGGTCAGCGTCGTTTGTCGTGACACTGCTGCTGCTGCTGCTGCTGTGCATCGGTGTGGACGGCACGGCCGACACCGCACAGCAGCACCAACAGCCTGTCAGAATGAGCAAGACCGACGCGTAAGTCATTCACATGATGATATACTGGATGAATGCATTCTGCCTCCCTCTCTCTCTCTCTCTCTCTCTCGGTGTGTGTTTGCTGCTGTCCGTCATCAGTTTGCCAGGTGTGACGAAGGGCAATCAGCTCACTCTCGAGATACTCCCGGCTGACGATGGTACGTGACACGTGTAATGCACACACAATCATCATCTTTCCGTGCATGTCTCTGTGTGTGTCACGGCGACGGATGGCTGCAGATGAGGATGAGGGTAAGGAATAATTCAGACAGACAGACAACGGTGCATCCCTCTCTGTCTGTGCTTCTTGTGTCTCCTGTTGTCTCTGTGTCTCCTTAGATTCGCTGGATGATCTCGGTGGGTACACTTTGCCATCCATCCATCCATCCATGTGTCTGTCTGTCTGTTATCACTTCAGGTCCGCTGTACATGTTATCGGACCTCTCGCGCAAGCCATCCCACCTCGGTGACAGACACGCCACACAGGCAGCACAAATATGGATGGATGGACTTGTGTGTGTGTCAGAGGCCGAGCTGTCGTCTGCGCCAAGATTCGGTGAGTGTTCAAGGAGAGACCCACATGGATGGATGGATGGATCAATGCAGAGGAGAGTGCGAATCTGGCCACTGTCACAGAGAGGAAATACTCCACGTCGGCCGTCAGATTCAAACAATCCAACTCAAACAACGGTAAGTCAGAAAGCGGATGGAGCAAAGACGGACGAATGATCGATGGCGCGCAGTGCGTCTGTGTGTCTGTCTGTGTGTCTGTGTTTGTGTGCAGGTGCCAGACTCCGCCACGGCAGACGCAGACACACTTCCCGCAACAGCCATTGAGCGAGTGCAGGCAGTGCACGAGCCATGAGTGCCTCTGCGTCTGTGAGAGCGAACCAACCAATGATGCCATGACATGGATGCATCTCATCAACTGACTGACTGACTGAGCGACTTGTGTCGAATCAGAGCGACAAAGCACCGATCAACAAAGTGACATGCACGAGCCATGAATGACAAAGAATCAGTACAATGTAGAGTGGACAATTGTATCACAGCTGCCAAGGTCATTCATCGTCTCACACATGGAAACAAACAGACAGACAGACAGACAGGTACATTCCATCTACTGTGGTACTGCTGTTGATTGAACTGACCACCCCATCCGCATGCAGCGCGAGCCAAGACACCGATGCTCAGCTTCACAGGCAGCTTCGCCATCACCGGCTGCCACACCCCAACTGGCTGTTTCACCGGAGCGTTTCACGGAAGATCCGGAACCCTAACGGCGATCCGGATCTAGCGTGGATCCTGCCATTCATCGGATCTCCTGGGAATCCGCCCTCCTCCCCAGGTCTGTCGTCTGTGAGTGCACCGGCCGTCATGAAGCTCCTCGCCTGCGTTGCCCTGGGCCTGCTGGCCTTCGCATGTGCCGTCCCGGTAAGATCTGAGTGCATGGACGACACAGCGAGTGCCTGCACCCCGGCCCTGCGTGGATGGGTGTGGGGCAATGAAGAGAGAGGCTGGCTGATCTAGTACATGGGTCGGTGGGGTGGCATCTCCCGAACGTGTGTGCTGTGTTGTTTGTGTGCCCCAGGAGGAAGAGCCGGCGAGGGAGCTCACGGAAACAGCCGCCGAGGACATTAATGACGTGGTCAGAGAAGCACACTTCATTCTGTGTCAGACAAACAGACCTCACAGTGCACACGTCACACGTCTTCGTTGCGTTGGTTCTTCGAATGGATATCCAGACGGCTGATGACACGATCATGACGGCAGATGGTCAGCAACCGACGGCACGCCCTGCCCACATACATCCCATCCCATCCGTATGTTCTTGGTATGTCTTGTGTGTGGTGCAGATGCCGACGTGCGTGAGCTGGGCACCGGTGGCCACTCTTCCTCTTATTACGGCAAGAAGGCGCCACCCCCACCGAAGAAGGAACACACCACTACGCCCGCGCCCAAGAAGGAGCCGCCACCCAAGAAGACCCCGCCGCCCAAGAAGGCCCCGCCGACTCACACCAAGAAGAGCTACTCGTACGGCGGCAAGAAGGGCGGATACAGGGAGCTCCAGGAGGAGGATGTGACTGACGGTACGTACGTGTATCAAGCATGTCACACACATTGCACGGTCGACGGCCCGCCCGCCCGCCCGCACACACACACACGCCCGCCCGCACACACACACACATGGACGGATGGATGGACGGATGGATGGACGGATGGATGGACGGATGGATGGATGGACGGCGTGACACTCATTGTTCACTCTCCTCCTCTCTGTCTGTGTCTCTCTCTCTCTCTGTCTGTCTGTCTGTGGTGCAGATGCCGACGTGCGTGAGCTGGGCACCGGTGGCCACTCTTCCTCTTATTACGGCAAGAAGGCGCCACCCCCACCGAAGAAGGAACACACCACTACGCCCGCGCCCAAGAAGGAGCCGCCACCCAAGAAGACCCCGCCGCCCAAGAAGGCCCCGCCGACTCACACCAAGAAGAGCTACTCGTACGGCGGCAAGAAGGGCGGATACAGGGAGCTCCAGGAGGAGGATGTGACTGACGGTACGTACGTGTATCAAGCATGTCACACACACATTGCACGATCGACGGCCCGCCCGCCAGCCCGCCCGCACACACATACATGGATGGATGGATGGATGGACGGCGTGACACTCATTGTTCACTCTCCTCCTCTCTGTCTGTGTGTCTCTCTCTCTCTCTCTGTCTTTCTGTCTGTGGTGCAGATGCCGACGTGCGTGAGCTGGGCACCGGTGGCCACTCTTCCTCTTATTACGGCAAGAAGGCGCCACCCCCACCGAAGAAGGAACACACCACTACGCCCGCGCCCAAGAAGAAGCCGCCACCCAAGAAGACCCCGCCGCCCAAGAAGGCCCCGCCGACTCACATTAAGAAGAGCTACTCGTACGGCGGCAAGAAGGGTGGATACAGGGCGCTGAGGGGGGACTGATGTCCGTCTGCCTGCCTGCCTGCATGTGCCGGTTTGTATGTGTGAGTGTGATGTTTGCCTGCGTGTGCCTGCGTGCTGATGCCCAGACAGGTCGTTCCGTCAGCCAGCCAGCCAGTCCACATGGTGTCTTGCGAGCCGCTCCCTGGGCATGTCATGTCCTATGTCCTGTCCTGTCTTGTCCTCTCCTGTCACCTCATTTTTCTTTACTTACGTCACTTTGCCAGGTCACACAGCCAGCCAGACAGTGTGGGAGCGGGGACCCCTTTCTTGGGAGTGGGTGGGTGTGACACCCGCCCCCTCAGACTCATCGTACGGATGCAAGGCAGACAGCTCATGCATGGATGCAGCCGTGGCATGGCATCCATCGATGCATGAGCTGCCAGCCAGCCATCTTTACTGACTGACCTATTTGTCGTTTTTCTTGTTCGTCTCGTTTATTCATCGGCCTCATGCCTGGGTGTGTTAGACAGACACGACACACGAGCAAGGGCTGCCAGGCAGGGGCAGGCAAGGACGAAAAGCATCAGAGTTGTGCCACGGCTGTCGATGTGTGTGTGTGTGTGTGTGCTGATGTACGTATATCGTGTACGTAAGGGTGTGGTGTGCAGTGCATGATTGGATGGTAAGAGTAGGTTGTCCAGCCACAGCTAGCTAGTCGGCTTGGCGTGCGTCGAGTACAGTGAGTGACTGACTGTGTTACTATATGTTCTATGGGGGTCGTCGTGACGTCATTTCCTTTTCACTTTTTGGCACTTGGTTGGGCAGCTGGACGGGATTATGGTCAGGGACATCAGGGGTGGGATCGCAAAGACCGTATGTATGTATATATGTCTATGTATATCCATGCATAGACAAACTTCACAACCCAGTTCTAATGAACTTATCCATTCAAAGAACATATCCCAGACTACCTTTTCATGTAGCTCATGTAAGAAGTAGCCAGCCAAAGAAAATTAAGGTGACGTGTGAACACCCGCTCAAACCAGCCGTAGCGAGTGTAATGTGCGGCACAAACATCCTTTCCGTTCAACCTGCTTGCCACACACACATGTTGCATTTGCCACCACACTACACCACATACACAGGCGAAGACATGTACATGTGTGTGTACGAATCCTCCGAACACTCGAATACACAGAGTCGATCAGTGATTGACGAGATTGCAATTGACTGATTGTCATCATGGCGTCGTGGTCAGTGTCGTTTGTCGTGACACTGCTGCTGCTGCTGCTGTGCATCGGTGTGGACGGCACGGCCGACACCGCACAGCAGCACCAACAGCCTGTCAGAATGAGCAAGACCGACGCGTAAGTCATTCACATGATGATATAATGGATGAATGCATTCTGCTTCTCTCTCTGTCGGTGTGTGTTTGCTGCTGTCCGTCATCAGTTTGCCAGGTGTGACGAAGGAACAGTGAGACACAAACGGCGGACTCTGAATCGACACAAGTCGCTCAGTCAGTCAGTCAGTTGATGAGATGCATCCATGTCATGGCATCATTGGTTGGTTCGCTCTCACAGACGCAGAGTCACTCATGGCTCGTGAACTGCCTGCACTCGCTCAATGGCTGTTGCGGGAAGTGTGTCTGCGTCTGCCGTGGCGGAGTCTGGCACCTGCACACAAACACAGACACACAGACAGACACACAGACGCATTGCGCGCCATCGATTCATTCGTCCATCTTTGCTCCATCTACTTACCAATGTTTGAGTTGGATTGTTTGAATCTGACGGCCGACGTGGAGTATTTCCTCTCTGTGACCGTCGGAATTTTCCACTCTCCTCTGCATTGATCCATCCATACATCCATCCATCCGCGTGTGTCTCTCTTTGAAAACTCACCGAATCTTGGCGCAGACGACAGCTCGCCTCTGACACACACACAAGTCCATCCATCCATATTTGTGCTGCCTGTGTGGCGTGTCTGTCACCGAGGTGGGATGGCTTGCGCGAGAGGTCCGATAACATGTACAGCGG